GGAGTGAGACTTGGATTTGCTTTGTCCCTAGTGGCCATTGGCATTCCTCCTCCATCAGTTAGAAAGCAGAAGGCCCAGGCCAGAAGTGACAGGCTATGCATGGGAGGAGAGGGAGAGCTCACTGCATGAGCTCAGGGCTGGGGCCAGGCCAGCAGAACAGGCCTTCCCGAGTCCCTCCTCCTCCCCACCTGCTCTCAAAAAAAAAGTGAGAAGCACAATAAAATCAGCAGGTGACATTGGTATTAATCCCAGGACTCTCACACATGGAACAATTTAAGGAGCTGGTAGAGAAGCACACATGAGAAGTGCTATTTCTGAGTGGGGACAAAGCACTCAATACTGCCAGGATGAGCGAGCCACCCCCTCCACCCTCTCCGCTGTTTACAGTAAAACTTCATCACAAGATGCTATTAAGCTTGGCAGTTACTGTAAATGCTGCTGTCGCCGTTGACTTCCACAGCCCCAGGACATTTTATCCAAGACAGAGTGGCTTCAACAGAGAGACCCAAACTGCCACTCGCTTCTCTTCTGCAAGTAGAAGGTGCCCTGGAGAGAGATACCAGCCATTCTCGGGCTGGGGAACGTCGGCTGCCTCCCTCCTCTCTGTGGGCTGTAAGGATGATAATGAAGTCAGCAGGGCTGGTGGGATAGATTCCAAGAGAAAATGAAAAGTGGTTTGGCCATTATGAGGAAGGCCAGAGAGCACTGTCCAACCTCTTCTATCAGCCTGCTCGGCCACCTTGGTGGAGGGAGAGAAATAGCTTATTCTGGGATCTATAAATGAAAGCCAGACACAGGGCCAGTGTGAATTATTTGGGGGTGGGAAAGCTGCGGGATCTGCACGTGCCTGAACAATTGTGACAAGACACAAGGACACATGTGAAGTTGTCAGCCACCTCCAGCACTTTCTACTTCCCTTCCTCAAAGTAGCTACAACCTCTGGATATAAGCCACCAAGGGACTTGTTTAAAATTCTCTGTGATTAATTCATGGCATTTATCTTACTTTCATCTGAATTTTAGAGGGGAGAAAAGCTTTGGTGCCTTGCCCAACATCCCGGAGCAAAGCCTTGTTCATCTTCACATCGCTGGTGTCTGATGCCATGCCTGTCACACAGAAGTATGCCCAGAACACCGGCTGAATGCATGTTGATGGTTGCAAGCATGAGGTGGATGTGGAAAAGGCGGTGGGCTTTATGAAAAAGAGCCTGAGGTCAGATCTTGGCTCCCTCATTTGCTAGCTGTGTAACTTTGCAGCGTTTCATTTCTCCGAGGCCCAATTTCCTCGTCTGTAATTTGGGAATAATAATGCCTTCCTGAAGAGGCCATTGGGCAGATTAAATGAAGTAAAGATGTTAAAGTGTTTATCACAGTGTCTAGCACATCAATAAATCTTGTTGGATCTGAAGCTAAGGGATCAAATAGCGACCTCACCAAGCCCCATGGAGAAACGTGCACACCTCTGAGTTGGGCACAGTCAGCAGCAAGGATTATCTGCTACAAATCCAGGGTCAGCTGCCACTTCCTCCTGGCATCTCTGAGCCTCTGTTCTCTAGTTTCTTCCTCTTACTCCCCAGCTGATGTATGCTCAGGGAAAGCTAACAAATTTTAATATCATCCTAAGTCAAACATTATTATGAAAGTAAACCTGCCAGAAAAAAAAAAAAAAAAAACGCATATAATGCATCCCAAGACTCAATGTAAATGGTTTTTAGATTTTTCCATTATTGTAGGTTACCTGTACCCAGGAGAGACTAGTACGATAACCTAAATTCATGCAGCTCATCAAAAATTGATTCCTCTGAATGTCTTGTTTGTTCTAGATTCTAAAACAGAGATCCCAGGACTCGACCTCAAAGAGAATCCAGCAGCCATATCCCAAGGGGTTGTAAGTTTGGGCCAGTGGGTGGGAAGATGATTCAGATTCAGTGTGAAGACCATGTCACCACTGGTTACGCCTGAGCAGCACAGAGGTTCTGTGGTCCACAAGCTTCCAAATTCAATAATTTGCCCAATTCTTTAAACTTTCTCACTCCTGTCCATTCCCTCTGCCCAAATCCAGGAAGACTGTTCCAGCTAGAAACAGGGTAGTATCAGCGTGCCTCTGCTTAGTATTGAGTGAGTCGCTTGCTGTCTTCTCTCACCCACTTGTACCCCTCACGTCAAGGCATTGACTTAGGGGCTCCTCCAGTCCCGAAGTGGTCCAGAGGCCAAGTTCCTACCTGATGCTCCACCAGTGATGGTGTCTTCGTGAAGTGAGCCAGGATCTCAACAACCCTCTCCTACATGTGTGTAGCCTACTGCGTCCCATGCTTCCTGGGAGCATTTGCAGATTGCCAGGCAAGCGTTGGAATCCACACCTTGGATAACACTCATTTACTCATGCATAGCACAGCTCAATAGATTGTACGCTCAAAAAGGCAAGGATTTTTTTGTCTAGCTCATTCACTGATCTATGCCATGGAACTGAGATATTACTTTATTATTTTATTAATTTATTATTAATAAACAAGTACTTACTGACTGTTCTGCCTCCTTCCCTAATCTCTTGATTTCTCCCTACCTTCAAACACAGGCTCTATGTTCCCATCTCAAACACCATGTCTCGGGCTTTCTCCTAACAGAGGGTATATGGTGTGGTGAAAAACTCAAGGACTTCAGGCAGACCTAGTCAAAATCTCAACAACACCACCTTGAAGTTTTACTATCTGAGCAGTTTTCTCAATTTTCATCTGAGACTCCTTATTCCTATCTCTGAAATGGGTATAACACATGTCAAGCAAATGGACCTGAAGGGTTCATCCGTATGTCAAAGTTCCCTGCAAAATTCCTGGCAGATACACCAGGTTCAGCAAATGCATTCCCTCCTCCATTCTCCTGTAAATAGGGATGTTGAGCATCAGTGGATAACTTAAGGAGCATTCCTTGAATATTTATGTTCACCTAATAATTAGTAATTCCTTCCATTGTACACCCTATGGGCATTCAGTCATGAAAGAAAACATTCACAGACGTCAAGGCAGGTGCTAGGGATACAAAGACGTATCAGAAGGAGAAGGAAGCTAATTTTACTATACTTTGTGCCAGGCACGCTACTGGGCATTTTACATGTTTGCTTATTCAGCTCTCTCAGCAGCTCTGAAGGACCCATCAGCATTGCTTTACCCATTCCTCAGCTGTGGAAACTGAGACCATGAAGTACTTGTTTCTAGCTAGTTCCTGGGTTACAAAGGAAGTCTCTCCTGGGTAGGAGCAGCTCACACAGTTGTGAAGGTCCACTGGACGAATGTGCTCCACTGAGAGAGACATTAGAAGGTAAAATCCAATCTGTGCTCTGCTCACCAAGATGGGCACCTGGCAGGGGGCTACATCTGCCCGAGAAGGCGCACCTGTTTCTGATTCCCCAAGGGCACAATCTGTTTGCTGTGCATCATCTATCGGGCTGCATCTGCCTTTCCCTTCTTCTGGCAAGAAGGTGTGTGCAGTTGCCTCACTGGGAGCCAGACTCACCCTGGTCCATCGCCTGGTCCATTTGCAGCGATGCCCGCAGCCTCCCACCCTTCAGTGTTTCACTCTAAGAGGAGGAAACTGGGCCACCACTCAGGGATCATGAGCATGTGTCAACTCTACAGTAACTCTGCAGGACACACTATCATCCACACTCACTGCATAAAAAAACAAAGACCTACAAAGGCTAAGGAGATTGCCCTGAATAATATAAGAGCCAGAACAAGGATTTAAACTTAAAGTTCCATAGCCCAGAGGACGCAGGAGCTTTTACCATCACGCCATGTTGCCTTGAGAGAGAAACCTCTTGCTCAGAAGCACAGAGCTACCCAGCAGCACAGTTGATCTCTGAGCCAAATTCAGTAAACAATTTGTCACTGGCTGGTTAAGGACAATTCTGCCTGTCTATTCATACACAGCACACCACCCCAAAACACAGTGACTTACAACAAAAACAATTATTGATTTCATTCAAAAGCTTACAGTTTGGATAGGGCTAGTTGGCAATAGATGGTCCCTTAGAGTTGGGGGGGGTCACTTTTACAATATCTGTGACTCAGGAACTCATAGGGCTGTCACCCAGGGGCCTGCCGTGCCACGGGAACCTCTGCACAGGAGTAGCTTGCCCATCCTCATAATATGGCACTGAGCTCCAGGAATAAGTGTGCCAAAAAGATCCAGGCGATCATAGTTTGGGGTGCTCCAGACTGTCACTTCCCCTGTATTCTGCTGGCAGGAAAAATTCCTGAAGAAGGTGGCCCAGGTTCAAGAAGGGGGAATCAGACTGCCTCTCAATGGGAAGAAGAGCAGAGAATTTGCCAGCTTCCCAAAATAGACTTCCCTCCACCATCACAGCATTGAAATGCCTCACAATGCAGATGGGCCAACGCCTCACCCTCACCAGGGGTTGGGTGAAGACAGGACAGGTGCCCTCACCCCTGATCTACAGTGAATAACGGAGCCCAGAACAGCTGAGACGATTCTGAGCCCAGAGCCCTAGGGCATGTAACAATCCTGGCGGCCCCTCACTTGCGGAGAAAATCACCGGAGCGAAATCAGACGGCAGAGCATCTGGTCTCCTGCACTGGCTGACTCCAGCCAGGCCCTCGGCCGCTCACTGTCACAGGCACTAAATTCCCCTGGACATGCATGCCAGAGAAAGCCAGGGCTGGAACATAATAATAAATGCATCTGAACACTGTGTTCTCCTGGGGCTTATCAGTATTTCAGTGCTAGTCACAAAAATAACACACTGTAAAAGACTGATTAGTCATCGGATAATTGAGTTCTTAAATGTCAAAAACAATATCGTATGAATATTCAACAGATCACGCTACTGAAACTTACCTGTTCTATCAACAATGACTAACATTTTCCCCCCATTGTTCTTTCCCAGAAATTATGTTAATATGACTTTTCTAAGGTGATGAATGTGGGTCTCTTTAAAACATATTGTCTTACAGGTTAATGCATAATGAGCTGGTTAAAGGAATACTGCTTGGGACTCAGGCTGGATTTCATCTGTCTGCATTAACTACCTCCTGGCTCAGAAACGGGGGGCATCAGAGTAGAATTTCTTCCAGCAACAGACAGACTTCAGGGCTCTACTTTTTGTGAGTTCTATTTCTTATGGCGCTTATTTATTTACTTGTTGCCTGGGACCTGGGTGTCAGGAGGGGAGGGTATGCACAGTTTTCACGCAGTAGAAGTTTAGACAAGGACCGAGGTCAGAGATCTCTGGGAGACTGGCGTATACCTTAATTCCACAGGAAGTTAGGGTTGGGTGGACTAAGTATATGCATGAGCTTTCTTCTATGTTTTTGGAACTTGCATACACACGCACGCACACACACACACACACACACACTACCAAGTGGGGGCATGGGATGTGCAAATTGGAAAAAATTTCTTTAAGCCTGGAGTCCAGAGAAGAGGAAACTCCCCCAAGCAGACCCTGCTTTCTGTTAGCCCAACCTCAGCAGATGCTACAACAGCTGGAGCCCAGAGCAGCTTGGTGGAATGGGAGCTGATGTTGGGGTCAGCTTGCAGGCCCTACGGCGTGTTGGGGGTCTTGCTCTTAGTGGGAACATCAGGATATGCCAGCCACCAACTGCTCCTCCAGCCAGACACTGTCTGTTTCTGAGGTCATTCTGCCCCTTTCAAGCCAGAAACACAAAGCCCTTGATGGAAGCCCCTCGCTACAGCCCACAGGCAGTCTCAGCCTGGCCAAAGACAGTAGAATGTACAGAGATGAAGATGCCCAGAGCTGGCAGGCTGGCTCAAGGACTCCAAACCTGGTCACCAACCCATATCAAAACCCCACTGCAGGGGGCTGGGGATTTAGCTCAGCGGCATAAGCACCTTCCTTACAAGCATGCAGTCCTGAGTTCAATCCCCGGTACCAATAAAAACAAAAAACAAAAAAAACCCACTCCATTCCCAGCCTTTCTGCCTGTCTCAACCTTGCTGTCTTATAATCCACTTCACCACCCTCTATGCCTGTGTGGCGCCCTGGCTTCCCAGCCCTCTCTGTCAGCCAGGCGGAAAACACGTACCAAAACTTACACAGATGCAAATAAACCATCTAGCTTTATGATAGGTTATAACCCCACTCGTGTTTCTTAGTATGCACACACCTAACCCCATACCTTCTCAGGCTTCTCTCCTACCAATTCCAGACTGCCCAGATACAGCAACACAAGCATCGGCTTGCAGAAAACACTCGGAGACCTCCCCTGCCCCTACCACTGAGATTCGAGGAACTCAAAGAGACAGAAGAAGACAAATTATTCATTCATCGCAGTTTCCTCCTGCCTGCTGCCCCTCACACACACAGGCTCTGCTTTGTGCATGGCTAGCGTAACCCATCAGAAGCAGATAATAAGCAGCCTGACCCAGGCAGGCAGACAGGCCATGATGGCTCAGTGTCCATCCCAGGCAGAGCTTGCCCATCCAGCCCTGGAGCTGGGGAAGAAGGGCAAATCACAGAAACTGGTTCTGCCCCAGAGGGACTTAACTGGCCATTTTCAGAAGAAAGGCCCTGTGGATAGCTGCAGGGGAGGTCTCCGAGTGTTTTCTGCAAGCGATGTGGATAGCTGCAAGTCCCACAGGCTGGTAGGCTCCTCTTGTCCCAAGGGAGGGCTTGGGCATTCCTGCCAAACTGCAGGGCAGCCCCAGGCCCCACCCAAGCCAGTCAAGTGTTAGTAGCGATGAGCTTGAGTCTTCTTAAGCATGTTTTTAATTACTGCAAAAATGTGTCATCCTAGGCGGCAGCATGGTTCTCAGTTACCAACGTGCAGATTGATGCTCTCCGTATGAAGCAGTTAGCACAGACATTTAAAAACAATTAGGATCGTGGTGAGGCAGCTCCGAACGAGCTCATTACGGAGGGGTGGGGAAAGTCGGGCCGCGATGCTCCCCAGATAACTAAGTTATTTGTAATTTTGATGGGGGGAGGATGATTGGTTTCTTTAATATTTTCCTTTGATGTCGGCGGCTACAGAGGCACACACACACGCGCGCACGTATGCACACACGCACACTTGACTGCACTTCCAGATAACAAGACAGATGCCATGTTAATGCCTCAGGAGCACCGGAAATGAGAAGGACTATGAAAAAATTAGACATCTCTTTTGTAAAGCCCTTGTCATGCCCAGTAGGCGGAGAGGCAAAGCAGGGGGCTCTGGGCCCAGTCAGAGCTGAGTGAGCCCGTGGAGGGTCCCTTGGTACTGAGCCAGCCCTCCTGTGCAGGTCCCACAGCAGGGACTGTGCAACCTGACTTCCAGAAGTGACCCAAGATCTAAGAAAAGGCCTGAGGAAAAGCTTCCTGGGGAGCTGGGTGACACTAGTGGCACTTGCCTATCTCATGTCCTTACTCATAAGAGCTTGAGGCCACACCTAGAGTCTCTAAGGAGTACAAATGGAAGAGGACCTCTCACTATCAGGCTTCTCTGACCTCTGGGGACCATCGCAGGAACCTCTGAATCCAGGCTGGATTTCCTCTCAGTTTCCAGAGAGCAAGGAGCTGTGGAGCTGTTATCACTGGATTGTATCCTACAAAAACACACGCCTACATCCTAACCCCCAGTACCTCCAAACTTGACCTTATATGGAAATAGGGTCTCTGCTGGTAAGCAAGGAGTCCTTGGGGTAAGACTTCTAAAGCAGTATGATTGGTGTCTGAAGAAGAAGAAGAAGAGGAGGAGGAGGAAGAAGGGAAGGGAAAGGAGGAGAAGGAGGAGGCAGCAGGAGGAAGGACACTCATGTGACGAGAGACGCACAGAGAATGGGATGAGATGACTAAAGCAGAGTCCCAGTGACCCAGCTGCAAGCCAAGCACCCAGGACAAGATAAGAAAGGATTCTGCCCTGAGTCTCAGTGAAGCATGATTTTGGGCTTCTCCCCTCTAAAACTAGGAGAAGGAAATGTTTTATGGTGTTTCAGCCGCCCAGTTGGTGCTGCTTTGTTACAGTACAGGAGACCGTACACTGCCAACACCAGTGCTTCACACCTGCCCCTGGAGACGCCTCTGAAGCAGTGTACGTGGCGCTCTGTGTTTCTCCCACGTGCATTTATGCACTTGTTTGAGAGGAAAGTGCCACGAAGTGTGGAGGAAAAACCCGGGGGAAAGGGCTATGTGGTGGCCAGGCTGGGCGTGGGGCTGGCTGGGAAGTCGTAAAAAGCTTCTGATTCTCCCTGCTGCCTTCTCCAAGCCTGGCCACAAGGCCTTCCCCCTCACACTGCCCGACCCCCTATCACACCATGGGAGGAAAGTGGGCTTTGGGTCAGGTACCAGCTACACCGCTAGATGCGTAAACTTGGTAACTACTCAGCCTCTCTGAGACTTTCTCTCACTGGTTGGTTGGGAAGATTAAACAAGGTAATCTGTGATATGTAGCCCATAATAGTAATTATACTAGTACATGTAATAATAACATGATGTAAGTCGCTAGGCTTTTTTGGCAGAAACTTATTCATCATCCAAAAGATCTGCCCTGACATTTCCACGACTCTATGCCTTATGTTAATGGCTCAAATATTCATACCATGACTCGGTGGGACCTCTTAGCCACCTACACTGTTCTTTCCCATTCTTAAGAAACCCATGATTCAAAATCCATGTCGAGCACATTAGGAACCGGCCTGTAACAGTGTCAAAAGTAAGTGAAGATGGACAGGGGCCTGTTTCTGAATGCTGCCGATGGTGTAATTTGCAAAGATGTGATCTCTCCATATGCTGCCTCTGAGTGGAACTGTCTCATGAATCGCACCTCGGCAAGGAGTTCAGTAAACTCATCTGCGAAACATATTTCAATTCCAAAGGCAGTTTTCTAATTAGTAATGACACACAAAGCCTTCACAGTCTGCAAGCAGCTCTCCCAGTGGAGATGGGTCCTGCACTAAAGCCAAGCCCAAGTGTAACTCACCACTGCCTACCTGGTCCAGAAAACAAGAGCTCCTGTGAATGGCAGGCCCTGGTCTGGGGTGGAGTCCAGTCACAGTCAGTCAGGAGCCAGGGTGTTCCTGTCCCGTGCTCTTACAGGCTGGACTGGACACCACTCGGACACAGTAAACAGCGGAGTGCATTCATCCACTCAGTACAAATGAATATAGAGGTATAACCAAACAGATGTGATTCTTGCCCATCTTGAGTTTCCTAGAAAATGCAGACATTATTACACAAACAATTGAGAAACAGCAGTGGTAGAGGGCTGTGAGAAGGATTCTCACTAGTCTAGAAGGTAGAGAATACTTTACTAGAGGAAGTGATGTTTAAATAATTGAGGTAGGTTTGAATTTCACCTGCATCACTTATTGGCGGTATAGTTTTTCTTAAATACATCATACTTTCTGAGTCGCAGAATTTTTATTCTATCAAATAGGCACACATTAACCTCATAAGTTTACTATGGGGACTGAATTAGACAATGTACTTATAGTGTCTGGCACCAATTAAGGCACATAATAGATATTCAAAGAAAACACCTATTGTTGTGATTTCAGAAATCCTCCCAGATTCATGGACCGCAGGGGAAGAGAACAAGAAGTCACCTAGAAAGCAAGCGCTCCCTGCAGACCAGCGCCACGTACAGGCTGCTGGGGGAACAGCCAGATGCCTGCCTTCTCCCATGAGTCAGCACCATCATCCATGGACTGCGGGGGAAGGGAACAAGAAGTTACCAAGAAAAATTACAAAATACAATTTAATGCTTGTAGTGTTTAGTGTTTCACCGACTTTGCAGGTCTAAAGCCAGTAGTCTAATTAGAAAACTGCCTTTGGAATTGAAATATGTTTCACACATGAGGGTAACAATACGCAATATAGCATCTATGGGGGATCTCCTTCCGAAGGTGGTAGCCACTGATAATTCCCTATCATCTTGTTTTGAAGTCCTGTATCATGTTCTCTGTTTTGTTGGGTTGGATTTTATTCTGTTTTGTTTTGTTTGACTTTAATATATCTGATGGCATGGGTAGCTATTTCAAAGATAAAAATATACACTATGGTGGCCATTCTGGATTTACTATTATCCTGGTTTGAAGTCCTTGATTACATTCCTTGTTTCATTTTTATTGGTTTTATTCTGTTCTGTTTTGTTTGATTTTTCTTATGTCTAAAGGTATCTGCAGTTATTTTGAAGACAAGAGGCAATACGGTAATTATTGTTGATTTTGTATTGTTTTGAAGTCCTGTGTCACTTACACTGGCTTGTTTTGCTTGGCTTTAATCTGTTTTGTTTTGTTTGGTTTTGCTCTATTTAAATAAAAAAAGAGAAACGCTCCCAATCTGTGACTGACAGGAGAATACAGAACAAAATTTAATCCTCCATTCTTTCTTTCCAAGAAGGAGATGGACAAATTCACTAAGCCAGGGTCACCGAGGACCCAACTAAGAGAGCTGAGCTCCATTTTCCAAAGGGAATTTGCAGAATCTGACAGCACAAGCAAACAAGTACGGACAAAGGCACCTAGTGGTGTAGGCAGCCCACACCAGAAGGGCCCTGGGAGGAAAGCAAACCCCATCTGGGTTCCACGCCTGAAACTGAGTGCACTCAGGTGGCCACTCTGAGACCCAGAGTCAGGACAGAAGCTCCCAGGCTTCAGGGCACCTCATCCTTGTAGGAGAAATAGCTATCCCCATCTGGAACCAGGGGTCGGGGTCCTCCGCCTACACTCTCCTGAGCCTGTGGAGTTGAACTCCACTTCTACGCCTGACCATGCAACCTTTATTCTTTCACTTTACAACACTCAGCTTTCCCATCTTTAAAGTGAAAAGAATCCTTCCTCCACTCTTCCCTCAAGCTCTAAAGAAGAAACCCCAGGACTTCCACTGCCACCAGTCAGTCCTTCAGTATATTTTGATTTTGGGGTTTTGGAGTGGGGGAGTGCTCTTCTCCTCTCTCGGTAGGAAGCAGGTACAGAGACCCAGTGGAAGGGGCATCCCCTGGCGCCCGCTCTCTGGAGGGCCTGACCTGCTCTGCCCGGTGGAGGCCGGCCATGCACCTGCAGCGTCCCAGGCAGCTGCTCTTCCCCTCACGGGTCTCCTTTGCTTCAGGCCTCGCTCCTGCTGGCTCAGCCCGGAGCCCGGAGCCCCTCTGGTGCTCTGGCCGCCAGCATCCAGGCTCTGGGCATTTGTTTTCTCGCTACACGGGGCTGCACACTGATACATTTGTACCACAGGAAGCAGAAAACTAGTTTAACATCTCATTTATTTCATAGATGAGAAAGTAATTCCCTGCTGAATGATTGTCCCGAACCAACAATTCAGAGAGGAGGAATTCACAGGGCTGCCAAGAGCCGGGTGCATTACTGTAGCACCGTTATATAAGGGAGCAGGAGCTGGGTGGTTTTTTTCCCCTTCTCTCTCTCGCTCCTGTTAGCCTGAAGAGAAAAGCCATTAAATATGATTAAGGTTAAGAGATTGCTAAAATTACAAACAGCCGCCATTCAATTATTTTGCTCTATAAAATGCAACACAGATTGGAGTTATTTCTCTGAAATGTGTTTTTAGAAAATAACATAACACAACTAATGTGGTTTGATCTAGCAAATCAGGTGCCAGATACCACTTCTAATGCAAAGCTAAAAGGTTCATAATTTAACTCAAAGTTTGTAACTTAGAGTCATCAGGTGCTTACGCTACAGAAAAGCTTTATAAAGAGAAAAAAATCAATACCATGCCCACTAATATTCTAAAGTCATCTACAGCCAAGGAGTCAATCAATTTTATCACCCGTTAAAAGATAAGACAGAATTTTTTTTAAGTTTAAAAATAAAAGAACCAATAAAATGTGGCCTCAAATGTTCTTAAAGTCTCTCTTTTTGGGGAGGCGCAGGAGGGTAAATATCTGAGATATCACTGTCAGTTTTCACAGAACTAAAATTGTGTACAGCGATGTCAGTTTCAAAGGAGAGATGGCAGAAAAATGGAAAAGTAACTCTTCCAAGCCTGCTCAATCCATGTGGCTCCAGGGATCCGCCTGATGCTGGGGAGAAGCCCATGTACTCAGTCTTGCTGCCCTGGACTTCCAGTTCATGAAGCAGATGACTCAATCTCGGCTTAGAAAGAATAAAAAGCTCAACTGCATTGAAATGAATTTTCTGTCCACTTTGTGCTGAAAGTTAAAATAATTTGAAATTCAGACAAACCTCTATGCAGATATATTAGTGGCTAGAGACCTCTGGTTATTATGGTTAATAAAACACCAGAATTACATTACACTCTGCTCACAGACTCGAGCCCTGGACTCAGAATCCCTCCAGACAGAATATAAGCCACTTATGTGCATAAACTTTGTACACAAGCTAAACACATAAAGCCGTGTATTAAAACTGAACAAAAACACTGCAAGCCAAATAGAAGCCAGTTAAATGCCAAATTCCCAGGGGCAGTCAAGGCAGCCGTGGCTCTCATGAAGTACACGTGGTTTTTCCCTTGCCTGTTGCAGCAACCAGGAATCAGCAGCTTACCACACTGCGGCTGATGCCACCTGACAAGTTCTGCCCTCTCAGATCATATTTTCAAGCTAGACTCACTCACACCCCAAATCCTAATGCACTGAACACTCATGGAAAATTGACCTCTGCAAAATGGAAGAGGCTTGAAGTGTCAGAAGTGTGTGAGAGAGAAAGGGGTGGAGGGGCAGAGCCATTTTGTACAAGCTCAAATTGTCTATTGGTTGCCATGATGATGTTCTCGAAAGCAAAAATAGAAACACATGATCACACAAAGGATTTCATCAGACTTGTGAATGTGTGTACAGGAAGAGAAAGCAGCACTAAATATTTTACACTAGGAGTCCCTGAAAAATCAGTGACAGATAACCATGAAGGGACACTGTGGGGACATAAAGCTTGTCTTTTGTGTCTCCTCTCAGCTCCTACACTTCCCTGAAAACCCTCCTCTCATTTTGCAAAATTCTTATATTCGTCCAATAACATTTACTGAAAACCCAGAGCCTAGCCGTACATTGTACTAGGAGCTTAGTTCCTGCACTCAAGGAGCTCTCCATTTGGCAAGGAAGAACCACACATGTATAATTAATTATAAATCAATATGATGAATGATTGAGAGGTGAATGATGTGCTCATGCAGCTCAGAGGGGGATATGCTGAACCCCAGGGTCAGTTAAAAAAAGCTTCATGGGGAAGGGGCAATTCAGCCTGGTCAGGAGAGTGGGGTTGTTAAGCAGATATGGCGGCTAGATATGCATGGAAAGCATTCCAGGTGGAGGATGGAGTGTATCCAAGAGGCACAAAGATGTGGGTGCAGAGGGTTAGCATGGCTAGTGCAGAGAATTACAAGGGATCGGATCAGAAATTAGTCCAAAAGTTGGCTGTGGCCAAATTGTGGAAATCCTCATACTGCATGTTAAAAACGATAGAGAGCCAATGAAGTTTTTCCACAGTGCACTGGCACAACTGGTCATACATCTGAAAAAGATAGTTCTAGAAGCAATGCAGTGGCTTGAAGATGGCTGAGGAGGAAGGCAGGCAAAAGAGGCGATAATCCTGGGGAGAAGCACCGGGAGCCTGAGCTTCAGCTGTGCCTTTGGACCTGATCAGATTGTGATTGATTTAGTAGGTAGACGGTAGAATCCATAGTACTTGGTGTTGATTGAATGTGAGCAATAACATAAGGAGGGGAGAATTCGACAATGAATCTGTAGCTGAGATGTCCAGCAGGCATTTTGGAAAGAAGAGTCTGGTGTCCAGGAGAGAATTCGGGACCCTGGGGATACTGCAGCCGCTGCCCAACATCACAGAGACACAGACCATCAAGGGACTCTTGGCTGGGAAGTAAATCTTTAACACCAAATCAAAGCTCAGATTGCTGTTAAAAGAGGAAGAAAGAAGACAGGAAGCAGAGAGGTCTTTGCACCAACTGCCCGCTTTGAGCCTCAGTTCATCTGTAAAACGAAGCAGTTATAGGACACAGAAGACGTAAACAGACGCAAGGTGCTACGTATTTAACTTAGTAAGGCCCCTTACAAGATCAAACACAGACCAGGGTGTCCAGAGCTGGGGGCGACACTAAATTAGAGTGACCAGAGTTAAAGGTTCCCAGATTCCCCACAATATCAACTGCTTTGTTGCATGAGTTCAGAAAAGGTAGCAAGTCAGTACTAGGTAAATCGGATGGGTCTCAAAATATTCATTCTCCCTACTCCAATGAGATACCCTGGGGTCTCTTATGCCTCTATAGGTTTGTCCAGAAGTTCTGCCCACTTTGCCATCCTCAGTTGCCTACTCAGGACCATGCTCCCAGTCCTCATCAAATTCTGCCATATTCTGCTGCCTCAAGACAACTGGGCCTGGAAATCAGGTCCTGATTCCCAGGCCCAACCTTACACAGGAGTTGCTCAGACTTTCTAAGTATGTGTATCCTGCATGGGCCTCTGCTGAGAACTCAGCCGGATCTCTGCTGATACCCCACTCTTTAGCCTGCTGCTACTGAGTCGGGACCAGTTGATGGAGCAAGAAGGCACTAATGATCAATCCTAAAAGATCTGCAGGTGTTTATGAGGAGAGCAGCGCACTGCTCTGGAGTCTTCAGAGGAAATGAAGAAGAAATAGCCTAACCAGGGGATGCTGTGGCAACACCACCTGATCCACGGCTCTCTCAGAAACACGTCCTCCAAATCCCTTAGGTTCCTCCATGTTCGATGACTATTTGAGGAGGAAAGGGTTAAAGGAGTCCTGCACCCATAGGTCCATCTAAACTGCAGACACCCTTAAGAAACACTTGTACAAGAAAGATTTTATGGTGCCAGGGCGGCTAACAAGAAATGCCTTTCCCTAAGCCAGCGGGAGCTCAGGATCCAGCAAAAGGACCTACACAGTGAGAAGCAGGTCAAATTGCTCACCAGAAGGAGGAAAAAAAGAAAGAGAAGATGTTTTCGTGTCGCCAAGGCTTCTGTTGTAGAATGTTGTGGCAGGCAGGGCTGGGGCTCCTTTCTATTCTTAATCATGTTCCATTTCCATCTGACACAACTCAACAGTTCTGACACAGCACCACTTAATAAGACTCACTTCCAGCTGAGGAAGGGGGAATGATGAGGCTGGGGGAGGAGGGGATGAGAGAAGTTGCCGCGCAAAGAGAATGAAACTGATAGGGCTTTATTGTGAAACAGAAAGTCTGTTGTCAGTTTAGATTATAGACTAAGCAACCAGGGCAGGTCCTCAGAGGTTAGCAACATCTCCCAAACACAGCAGAATCTTCTGTACAGAGGCACTGAGCCAGAAGAAACCGAATCCTTTCTTAAGAAAATGGGGTAGCCA